TACATTCAAGGATTGGTTAAGCTCTTTATCAACCAATGCAACGAATGCTTCTTCGATTGCGTTGTTTGCTCTCTGTCTCATCAATTTTTGCTCAAGTCCTCGAAAACATTTAGCTATTTCAGAAAAGCAGATATAAGGAGATACTTAACTAAGTTTGCCTCTATTTTTTTTCAGGTGGAATTTGATCTTCCCAAGCCTGGAGACACAGTTGACCAACAACTGCTGGACCGATTTATGATCAGTCAAATCTTAGAGCAAAATCTCACATTGTTTTACGGAGGCCTTTCTGGTCGCCCTGGCAAACAAGGTCCTGTTGGCCCCCCTGGAGCAACCGGAATGAGGGGTATGACCGGAGCTATGGGCCCATCAGGTCCAATTGGTGACGTAGGATCCCCTGGTGCTGATGGTGAGTCCGGTCCGATAGGTCCCCCGGGACTCCCTGGGATGCCTGGCTTCAAGGGAGAGAAAGGACCACCAGGTCTCATGGGATTAGCTGGGGAGCCAGGTGCACCTGGAATTCCGGGACCTTTAGGAAACGTTGGCCCTGCTGGTCCAGAAGCTGTAATGCCGGTTAGTAATCGATCTGAGCTTATCTCACAATCCTTAGAGAGTAATTTACTAGCTTTGAAACATCAAAAAACACTAAGTAGGAACAACTCTTGATAAAAATGGAAATTTGTAGGCTTTGACCCGTCAGAGCCCCTAACATAAAGGTTCTTAGGCAGAAAATTCTAAAATCATTACGCCCCCACTTGCTCAATGCTGACTGAGACAAGTGCCAGAACATAATTTAAAAAATCCTACAGTTTTTTAGAACTATTAAACCATTTCCTTTTTCCCCATACCCGTGCGTTTAAGATATTTTACTCTTACGAGAAACGGCTCAGCTATTTGTCATTGTTAAGAACAGTTTAACAGGTAAACTGTTTTTTTGTTTGTTTTTTAATACACGAAACTGGCGTAGGTGGCATCATGAATAAAAACGTCAGACCTCTCAGTTTCTTCTAATTATATAACACTCTAAAGAACACAAACTCATACATCCATGCCCAATTTTAAAATCATTTTATCTTATGTCATTGTTAAGAACAGTTTAACGGGTAAACTGTTTTTTTGTTTGTTTTTTAATACACGAAACTGGCGTAGGCGGCATCATGAATAAAAACGTCAGACCTCTCAGTTTCTACTAATTATATAACACTCTAAAGAACACAAACTCATACATCCATGCCCAATTTTAAATCATTTTATCTTATGAATGAATTCGAAACAATAAAACACTAATCTTATTTTCCTTTCATAAAAGTTGTGCGGACGTTTAAGCCCTCACCTTTACAAAACATCCATTGAAAGAAAAGTTCTTAGCTTCAGATGTTATCGTTATCGTATCATACACGTACGTCGTTTATGTTTACGTCATTTTCTTTATGCGTTCTCAGAACTGTTCTTACATTTGCGAGGGAGAGAAGACTTGGCTTCAGTGTAAGCAGTACGAGACCATCAAAATAAACCGTGCGTTCTGGGGACGAGAAGAAAACGAGTTCTGTCCTAAAGCCCCAGTTGGTCTTGTCACAGACAAGATTTGCGAGACAGATGCAGATAACACATTTAAGAAAGTCGAGAGCCAGTGTAGGAACAATCAAGCGTGTGAGATTGTAGCTTCAAACACGTTCTTCGATGATCCAACGTGTAAGAATACGTTCAAATATTTAAAGCTCTGTTACGAGTGTATTCCGGATGAGGTACACACCACAGACGTGTTGCTTGACTTGGGAAAAAGACGAAAGAGAGGAACTCGTCTGGAGGACGTTCTAAGAAAGCGGAGAGAAAAGTCTGAAAGGGAGAAACTGTTAAAAGACCTTTGGAAGCATCCATATCATGCCAGAGTCGTGTGATTGGCTTTCTTCCAATCTGTGCATGTATATCTTAGGTATTTTGTAAATAGCTCATTGTCGTCTTTCTTCGAAAGATAAGGTAAAAGTGGACCACTGAGATAAAGGGGCTGGCTGAATCGAACCTCCTCTGGAATATTGTTATGGATCTGTTAATTTTGGGGACTCGTTTAAAATAAGAAGATGATTAATCATTCATATGGTCTTAAAAAATCATCCTCGACCTCGAATAAGTATGAATCTCTTCAAAGAAATTAGCTGAATTTTGCTTGTGTACAACATAATCAAGTTTTATGTAGGCAAGAATAGTGACGAAGAGTTGAAAAACTACGTGAGTTGGTCAATATGGCGACTTTAGAATAATACTTATGCTCTTGAGTTGCAAAAAAGACGACGTTTCTGTGCAAGAAAAGAGAGAGGTTTGTATTTCGGATTCCTTTGGCGCTCTTTGAACCCAATCAATAGTTTCTTTTTCAGGAAAGAGCTGACTAGATATATTTTCATGCCTGCGTACAGTTGTAACATCAAATGCCTCGAGTTCTGATTAAAAAAATTTCTTTGGCAGGAAATAAATGCAACATCTCGCTGGAAAAGCAATAGAAGATTAGGTTTGAATGATAATGAGTCTCGAAACCTCTCGATCCAATCAAAAGTTATTCACTGTACATGTGTTTACACCGTTTTCCTCTATGGGAAAATACACGAAATGAATTCGGTCTGTAAAATAGGTTTGATTATTTTATATTGAACATAAAGCTAAAGATTGTATAATAATGAAGATATGGCACCCTTTCGGTAATCGTGAAACAGGAGTTATGCCCACAGCTGATGAATTTTACCCAAAGTCACACTGACTGATATGTTAAATCAAATATATCTCGTCGTTTCATTAGAGGAGAATTCTACGCCAATAGGGAGTTTCTGAGATATTTCCTTGAATAAAATGTTTTCAAGAAAGAATACTTGGTGTGAAATGCCTTTTTGAAGTTATCCTTTTTGCTAGTGAGCCCCGCTGAAACTGGGGATCTAACACTAACCACATCGATGCATTGCAATGCAATGCAATGCAATGCAATCCAAAGCAACCAGACTCGTTCCAGCGGTTTGAGTGAAATGACTGTTAACTGTTTGCCAGGTCACCGCTGACAGTCTCTAACTGTTTGCCAAGTCACTAAACGCGTTGGAGAACCGTGAGATAGCTTGAATATTGGTCAACAAAAGAGATACAACCAAGTGGGTTAATTAAACCGATTCTTACGGTTCGTGAGCGCGTAGTTCATTAAGAAAAAAAAATAGAAACCTAACATCACTCAATGGAACCAATAATTCAGAAAGTATGAATGCTACAATTCTTTCTAGTTGACATAAAAGAGGAGAGGAAAGCGTAATGGCCTAAAATAGACAAAAAAGAATCGCAAGGGGCCTAAAAGTTGGTGTTTTATTAAAACTAAGGAGTCGATTTCCATGCAAATAAGCAACAATCTGTGTCAAGTTATGACAAGATATTTTCTTGTTATTGGTAACTGGTTAATCTCAAAGCTTCTTTGGATCGCCGCGGGTTTGTATCCATGGCGCCTTTCCATACAAGCGACTAAAACTTACACAAATTGTCACAGCCTATATGTAGCTATCTTGCTCATTATGTTCCAAGCTGAGACTGACTGAAAACTCTTAAATACTACACACATGCCTCTTGGATAATGGAGTTCAGTGAAGGCTTGTATTCTTGACTTGATGAAACATTTTGTTTGCGAGATCAAAAATCTATTTTTATACCATTGAACTAAGTTGATACTCTTGATTACAAAAAACTTCTGGAAATATTCATGAATGAAATCATCAGTTCAGCACTCTTGATAAGTTCAGTCTCTGAACAGATAAACTAATTTCATTCTTATTCTTTTTTGTTTTCTTTCCGTAAGAAATATGTTCAACTCCGGAAGGGTTGATTACCATGAGCGTTCCCTTCAGTGAAAACCGTTTTGGTACCATCCTAGATACTCCTAACCACTAATTTTTTTTTTAAACAATTAGCTTGCGGTGGTATTTCATGCAAAATCAATTTTTACCAAGTCTATGAAAAGTCAGCCCTATTGCACGTTGTGATGATTTCCATTCTGTGCACTTTTGTACAAAAAAGCGTTGCTCACAAAGGAGAAAGGTCCTTTTGAAAAGTTCACCTTGCAATGAATTTCGCTGAAGGTGGTGCGATTCGATCTTGCATGACTGCGAATTTGTTGAACAAAGCTAGAATTGTATTTTTTGCGTTCTCCATCTCTAGTAAAAAGCTATTTCACACGTTTAATCAGTTTTAGACTTTATCTCAAAACTGTTCTTATAAACAGCACGAAATATGGAAGCCCATCTACAAAGTTAACCCTTTAAACCCTAAGATCGACTAGTATCAAATTTCTCCCTACAATATCACCCCTGAATCACATGTTAAGGTTATGAGAATAAAAGAGTGACCCCAAGAGTGACTAGTATCAAATTTCTCCCTACAGTACCACCCCTGAATCACATGTTAAGGTTATGAGGATAAAAGAGTGACCTCAAGAGTGACTAGTATCAAATTTCTCCCAACAGTACCACCCCTAAATCACATGTTAAGGTTATGAGGATAAAAGAGTGATCTCAAGAGTGACTAGTATCAAATTTCTCCCAACAGTACCACCCCTAAATCACATGTTAAGGTTATGAGAATAAAAGAATGACCCCAAGAGTGACTAGTATCAAATTTCTCCCTACAGTACCACCCCTGAATCACATGTTAAGGTTATGAGAATAAAGGGATGACCCCAAGAGTGACTAGTATCAAATTTCTCCCTACAGTACCACCCCTAAATCATATGTTAAGGTTATGAGAATAAAAGAGTGACCCCAAGAGTGACTAGTTTCAAATTTCTCCCTACAGTACCACCCCTGAATCATATGTTAAGGTTATGAGAATAAAGGAAATGATCACCAACGAAGGAAGCTTTTGATTGGTAAACAAATTCTCCTTGTCAGCACCTTAGGAATGTATAAAGTGCAGTATAGAGAATATGCATAGTGATTTTAGGGTGTAAAGGGTTAACAATTATTGAAGAAGGTAAAAATCGAATAAAATCTTTGCGATGCCCACGCAAGCCTTTGTCGTCTTTAATTTTGAGAGCAACTCAGTCAAAGCCATTGTGGCACCGTCATATGGCACTCTAAAATACTATAATTTTTTTTGTGTAGCTTTAGCCGGTATTTCGGGAAAGTCTGTTCATCTGACTTTGAATAACGGTTGTTCTGAAACCTCATCTTTTGAATTTTGTTATTACTCACATGGTTTAGTTTTAATGCTCCAGCTATTGCTTTTAAAGTAAGTAATCGTGTAAGGGTAGATCACGCAATTTTGGAAGAAGATAACAAAAGGTTGAGGTTCTCGCCTCTTAATTGACGAATTAAGACATACCATGAGGTATCTCTGGGGAGCCTTTGATTCTTGTCTTAGACTTTTTACATTTGTCAAATTTTACTTGACCGCGCCAATGTCCTTCAGACATGGAGATAAACAAAGTCAAGTAAGAAATAACAAATTAAAAATAAGATCCCAGTTTTCTATTAAAGAGGAAATCTTTGATGTTCTTATGAATATGATGAAGTTTGATTAAACACTGTCCAGTTGCTCGGTGCTGCAGAAGAACGTTTGGGACAAAATTACAGTCTTCATAATTTTCAAACGGAATAAGGAACCCTCTATGACCGACTGCTTTCACACCCATGGCATGAGCAAGCATTCCTACATAAACATCGTCCATCCTATACGGCTTAATTACATCAAACAGGGGAACAATGCACTCGATAACGTCATAGGTCATAACAAAGCCAGCCCCACTACAGAAATCTGGATAGTGAGTGTGGTTGTACTCTTCGTAGCTGACGTTCCATTTACCATCTCTAGCTACACCAGGACTACGCTGAGCTCGTCCCAGAAAAAGTTTCTTTTCTGGAGTTGATTCCTTTTGCAAAAAATGAATTAAATAAGCGGTATTAACCAGGATGTCGTCGTCTGCTTTCAACATGTAAGAAAAATTGCAATATCGCGATGCCCACTCAAAGGCCATCATAATCTTAAAACTCTGTCTCCAGTAATTCTCGTAGTAGTCCGCGCGAATCAAGTCTCCATAAACTTCGTCTTCTTTATCGACAAAATCTGAATGTGTTTGATTCTCTGCTTTCGCAATAAGAAAGTATGTCTTCCACTCTGGAGACACGTTATTATCAGTGCCCCATGTTTGACGAATTAGATTTCTTCTACCTTGGTTTGCAGGTGCAGATGATACTAAGATAAGAAGAAAATAGTTCCTTGAACATGATTTCGTTGTTATCAAAGTCGTTTTATGTTGTGGAGATTGTTTCCAAATTTTACAATCGTAGCTTGGTTCAGTGGGGCTGGGAGTTGGAGCATCGGAAGGGAATCTTATTAAAGTACCACAATAGATGGTTGTTACCAAGGTAGCCAATGCCACAGTGATAGTTCCAAACTTTCCTCTAGGAATTTTCGATAGGAAACAGACCACACAGTATCTCAGTCTACGAAACATATCTGGAGTCTGTCACGTGTTACGTAAAGCCACACCTCTATAAAAGCCAGCCAGCCAGCCACCCCCTTACCTACAAATAATTGCAATGTCATCATTGTGAGTTACTGGGCTGCAAAAGCAAAATCAAGGAGAGTAGTAGCAAAACAACACGAAAACCTTTACCTAAATGAAATTTCACTACACCACGCTAATATTCTTTTGGGTAAAGGGTTGAAGGTTTGAAAAGAATATCCCGATAACAGATCATTTTTGGACACAAAAAATACAGGAACACCCTTGATTTTGCGCCCCTAACTTAAAACGAGTTTGAACTGACTAAATGATGTTTTCAACTGACTGTATAAGACAGCGAAATAAGTGATTATGTAAAGGTTTCGAATGAGACCCTGAGCTTTTGTGCAAAGAATAAGTTTCCAAGCTTTCGCCGATCCACGAAATAATCAGGGATAGTAAATATTTTGTAACGCAGCTTTATATATCTGAGTGAAATTCACAAAAAACACACTTAAAAACACAACAAACTTAAAGTCAATATCCGCACACAAACCTCTCGAACTTGAATATTTCCCCAACCCCCCAACCACCCTCCAACCACAGGGTGTTCACCCACTAGCTGAGCCTGGCAAAGTATGTATCTGACTGTCAATCGTGTAACATAGCGGGCATGTTTTATGCAAATCCAATCAGATACACCTTTTTAACATGAAAAAGAAAAATGCTAAGAAAAAAATAAAAAATAAAACGCTAAGAACTACCTGATTCTTGAATAAACGAAGTCTATAACTACATGTGCCTGCTGTTGTATAGCTGCAGAGTATTGTAGTAAAAAAATCAGTGTGGTGTAAATTGCAGAGCGGTTAATGAACAGTTCTTGTCGATGCCAGAATTGCAAAATTTTGACAAAAGTAGATTAACACGACATCACGACATAGTGCCAACGTCCTTCCTTGAAAGAAGGCACAGTGGGCAAAAAATGAAGCAATGCTCGATCACTTTTTGCTGATGGCCCCATACACTTAAGCCTCACACGCTTTGTTCGCCCATTATCTGCTGAATAATATTGTCCAATTTATTTGGAGGTCCGCGGCAACATAGAGCCGGCCGGTAATTTAGCAACGCAAACACCGTCTCTTTTGTGTTTTAAGGTTCGCACGCCTAACAAATGAAAGACTGTGATACATATACTTTATAAGCTTTGCAGTGATATATAGTTTTTTATGGTTTCTTCAAAAGTAGTGCGCATAGGACGATTTTGCCGGCAGGTACCCTATTAGAGTGAATTCGTTTACAACCCCTTTGATATATGCTAATGAGAACAATAATTAGGAACAGAAATGACAAACCCGGTGCCAAGCGCAGTGGTAAACCCAACGCCAAGCGTGACAGGTCAGGGTCGAGCTCTAGCAAACCTCGAACACAGTTAAAAAACGTCCATGGCAAAAGTTCAGGCCACGTAAAGTAGACAAACGTTCTACATTCCAGAAATGGTTGTTTAAGATGGCCAACCGACCGCTAGTCGACTTGCTTCCACGAAACTTGGAAATCCACAATTTTACTTCTACTGAGCTAACTGACTAAGCGGCAGTCTGGGATTCTGGGCTTAGGCCTGAAGTTCAGACCTTCCCTGCGACTTCCGACTGTTCCTCGGTTCAACCAGCAAATTCAAGACTTTTGCCGGAGAGTTCGCCTTCAAGATAAGTTTGCCATCCGACCTCAAAACAGCGATTTCAACCTCAGATTGTACGTTTCAACCGACTAGATTCCATCAAGGGAAAACCCAGATCTTGAAGACAAACTCTTCACGCTTCGCAAAGAGTTACAAAAGAGCTTCGTGGCTGAAAAACCACATTGGAGAAACAATCTCTCAAAGCAAGAGTGAGAAGACCTTCACGAGCTGAAATCCGATCCTGACATTAAAATCCTGCCAACGGATAAAAATCTTGGTCCGAGTTTGACTAATGGTCGTGGGTAGTGGATCGTGGGTGTGGGTACAAGTCGTGGGTCGTAGGTACAAGTCATGTCAGTAATAGTTAATTATTAATGGTTTATAGATCACATTTAATAATATTAATAGTACAACAAATAATAATTAATTAGTTATTATTGTTGAGGGGAACGGTTTTTTTTTAAATATGAGCCATGATTTGGTTACATAGCCGTGAACGGTCAATCGCCTTTTTTTCGAGGAAATTGCGAAATGACGGTTATTTTTTTCGCGAAACGTGACTTAATCCGTTATTGTTTCTCCTCCTTTCAAAAATCCAGTGAGTGTCTCATAACAAGACTGTGTAGAAACATGACTGTGACTAACTAATCGTCATTCTGGGCTCCAGGCCTCTCTATTCCAACAGGTAATTTAACACCTTTTATCTTCGTTTCGTGAAATGGCTATTTCATACTGCGTGAAACGTGCATGGCCAGCTTATTTTTCGTGAAAAGTGATTTAGGACCCCCCTCCCCCCCCTCTCCCACCCTCAATTATGGTCAAAGTTGGCGTAATTGACATAACATAATGTATGTTAATTATACAACCCATCTTCAACTGAAAAATATTATTGTTTATTCCAATATCATTGCATCAGCTCGGTTTTGTGGGACTACTATTTCATTGATTAACTTACATATAAGTAATATAAAATTCATTCAACTAATTTATACCAAAAATTCTGTACTTCACATCGTAGGAAGGCAGTCAAACTTTGTCCTCAATGTAAAATGGTCAAAAAAAACGTTTCTAAGGGGCGTGCGAAAGCTTAACTTGTTTCAATAACAACAACACAACGAAAGAATGCCACTAAATATTTCTGCCGAACGACAATGAGAGCAATGAGTCACAGTAACGGGAGAGTGTACTCCATGTAATAGGGAGTACATACTTCTTCGTATGAACCTATATTGAGTACCTTTTTGGAGCTCGGTACTTTGCAGTGAACGTTAACAACAATAAAAGAACGAAAGGATTGAGTTTTCTTTAAAAAGGTGAAATTCTTGCCGATTATGAGAAGGCGGCCGAAACTTCAAACAAACATCCAGTCCAATAAAAAATGTTGAATTACTGTGATATATAAATTGCAATTTTCAATAATGCTGCATTAAGAATTATCAAAGGAATTCAACTTGTCAAAAGTAATAAACACCTGCCCATTGAAAAAGGGATTTTCGCGTTGAATATGAGCGAAATTTAGCCGGTAATATGTATTGCTGTAATCTGCACTGAAAAGGAAAGTTCCCGTTCGCTTATCTCACCGAACAAGTCGCCTGTCGATATGCTTGACCACGATGTTGTGCGAAGGACTTCTGTACCTCTCAGTAAATTCAGCACCACAACCATAGCACGTTTTAACATTTCCTGGCAGCGTAACTAACTCATACCTGTGAGGAGAGTATCTGGAATGCCAACTTTCAGCACCCGAAGCGTATGTTGGCTGCGGATAGTTTTGTCCTGTGCTCAAAGGGTCATGCTGTTGAACAAGACAGCCTCCAGCAATCACTGGAGAATGGTGATGAAGAATTTCTCGTGGGCTAACACCGTGATACGAACGCCCCATAATAATTGCCGCTGGCTGCTCCATATGGTGACTTGTGGTCGGCAAGCATCTTCGTTGATTTAATGTCATGGAGTTTGAATGCGGATGTACATCAGTGGACTGGATGCTTGCCAGTGTCGTTTGCTGGGCTGTGGCTCTATCTGGCAGCTGCGTTGGCTCCAAAGAGAAGCCCGAGTTGTTAGAGTCCTGTTGCTGCAAACTAGAGGAACTCGTACCAGGCAGAGCTTGAACGCGTGTTGACTGAACCTCTGTGCGTTTGTGTTGTTTTCTTTTGCGAGTTGTCTTGTTCTCCGATGGACGGTGCCTCAAATTAGGGTCAACTAAGAGACCAATTTCCAATGCTATTCGCACAATTTCTTGGCCAAGTCGGGCTGTCCTTCCCAGTTCTCGGTGGTGCAATTTTGTTTTCCGTTCATCATAAGAGGGGCCAGTTCCACCTTTTGAAGTCTCCTGCTCAACTGCGTTCAACAGTTCAACTGCAAGAAGGACGCTGTCCCTAGCGTCCGTATGAGCTGCGTCAAGAAGGGAAAGGTTTGACGGAGCTTTATGAGCCCTTCCAGCGTGGATCACCAAAAACTTACCGAAGTCCATTCATGTTAGCTCCAGCCATGTCGGTGCACCAACAAGTAACAAAATTACGTATCTTACACATCTTTTAAATTTTCCGTCTTATTGTTTGTTTAATTTGGGCGACTGTTCTCTTTTAATAAGGATCTAGGTGCTTGCATAATAAAGTACGAGGTGACTCAGATTTCAGCGAAAATCGCCGTCTTTACAGTCACAGTTTCGCAGTGTTTCCGTCTTGCGCAGTAAGGAACAAAGCTTAGCAAATGTTTCCATGCCTTGCGTATGCTTCGTATTTCAGGCACATTTATGCATTTCACTCCAAATAAGTACTGCGCAATAGATTGGTTTTAAATGAAACTGTTTTTAAGGGTATTATTTTCCAGAAATGTATTTATTTTGTGGCTGTCCGGCCGACCGACGAGCCTACCGAGTAGTAATTCTTGGGTGAACCGGGCTCTTCACAGTGAGATTAAGTAAACATGACTATACCTTGCTTAATTTGATGGTCTTTTTCAGGACATCTTCTTCGCTTTTCTGCTGGTAAGCTTGCATCCAGCTTTGGCCGTCATCTGGAGTATTTTCAACTCCCGAAACAACTTCGGCTTAAGTTCTTATGGCTGACATAATTAACCAAATAAAGCGAAAAAAGCAAAATTTGACAGCGGCTGCTTGAGAATATCCGAACTTCGAACCACACAAACATGGGCACGCAAAATACTATCGTGAAGTAATGCGATGCTCCTCGATGAAAAACGAAACGTATGTTTCTTGAGTAGG